ACTTGGTACCGTCCATTAATAATCCAGAAGGCATATAAATCAATCATGCGACAAGCTGATAAACATCCAACAGCTCTACAAATATGTATTTGAGTGCTTACGTGGAGCTGAAGAGCGGTGTATCCACGTGTGTTGTTTACACCAAAATGCGTCAACATTTGTGCAGGACAGCAAAAGCGTGTAGGATATAACATACTATATAATTCGTGTTCGGTCCGAAGCAGCAGCATTTATTGGATTTCAGTTTATGCCGCCCTGCGAAGGAGCACAGCTGCCATCTATTTTTAGTTATCCTCCTCAGCTGCGCAACAGTTGGAGCTGGAGAGCTGAGTCTATTTATAGAGTTTAGTAGGCGAAAAGCTTTTCCGCAGGATAATTCCGGTTTTGCATGGACACGAAGCTCGAGAGCCACAGGGATAAGTACATGCAAACATTTATGCAGGTGCGATTCAAATTTAATTGGCAATGTATAAATCATTATTCAAGACGTATGAATACAGAAATTCCAAAGTGAATAAATAAAATTAGTTAAGATATCTAAGAGATTACTTCCTCATTCGCCTAAAGAAATATTTTATATTATTGCATACTTTTAAGCATCATTTTTATAGATTTATAATCTCTTAGAGAATTAAACAGTTTTTAGCGCTTTTTTAGAACTTTAAACACATAACTTTTCGAAAGGGTTTCAAATCTCTAAATATTTATAAGAAAACTCCTTAGGGACCTTTAAATTCCTGAGTAGCTTTAAGTTCAAAGTTCACAAACCCACATTATCTCTCTCATACATATCACTTAATCCATCTGTAGCTGAAATTTAATTATTTATGCTTAGCCAGCTTAATCTTTTGAAAAGTCCTTTCAAGTTTTTCCTTAGATTTCCTTAATAGGCACACTCGACATGTTTCTCCACTCAGATTCTGATTCTGATTCTGGTGCATGCAGTTCACAACTTTTGTGTGCATTGCACAAATTTTAAGACAAATTTCAATTATACCTGAAGGTTTCCCTGACAACTCTCGACTTTTCCGGAATTTCCCTTCAGCTGGTAAGTATGCCATGGTTAATAAACAAACCTCTTCTTCGTCCTGGATGGTCGACAAATCCGTTTCCTCGAAAGGAACATTTCGCTGCCATTCTGGTGGCATTTGTTGTGTTTTTGTTGTGTTTGTTGCATCAAAATGCCACTGCACCTGGTTTCCTCTAAAGTCTCCTCCACACGGAGGCTATAATATGCAATGTTTTGCCTCCATTCTGCTCCACCAGAAGTGGAAAGTATGCTGTGCTTCTTTGCATTTCAAATGTCTAGAGTGGAGCGGATCTTAAGTGCTCCAGGTTTTCCTTCTCCTTGGCTGCCCTTTAACCCATTTCATCGTGTCTCCCCCATTTCTAGATATTTTTTTTTTATTTTTTTGGTGCGCACAATTACACAACAACAATAAAAGCGGAGAAGAGGTAGCGAATACTCTGTGCCGTAATCAGAAAAACGTAAAAATTTCTACCAAGCAGGTAACGAAAATATTTGAAATTGCTTTTTGGCCCCAGTGCCAGCCTTCGTCCTGTTTGAAGGACCTCCTCCAATTTTACCCTTAGCCTTTGCTTTGGCATTCCGTCTGCCTAATGGCGTATATTTTTTTGGCTTCTTCAGGTTTCGCTTTCGTCCTGTTTTATTTACTTTTTCTTCCTGTCGGAAAAGGGGGAAACCTTCCCCCACTCTCTTCGAATTTCTAACGATGTTTGGGGACACATCTCCTCTGTCAGTTATTTTTTTTTGTTTTGCCGGAACGCCGCGTCTTGATAAGGTTAATTGCCCATTTCTGTCATACCCCAACTCATAACTCAATGGGCATGCTAATAACTCCTTCGAAGGACTCTTTGATGTGGCCAGAATGTCGCTGAGGGTATTCCAGATTCGATTCTGGTTTCGAATTCCCATTGCTCACATATCTCAGCGTCTTTCGGCTGTCGCACATATCGAATTCTGATTTGACGCTCATCGTCGGCGACATAACACAAATATTTGGGAGCACAGCAGGCGACAAGATTTTGCGACAATTCTGGTTCCAGAGGTCATCGGAAATTGGGGGGAGTGGCATTTTTTTTTTTTGGGGGGGAGGAGGAGGCGTAGAGAAACTCGATATGTCAGTATCGGGCTTATGGAAGATACTTATTGTCGCATATTAGAGCAATATGAATTGAATGCGGAATGTAAGTGAGCTCATTGACATGGCAACCTTGCCGTTGCTCTGTAGTTCAATGCTAAAAGGACCCACAAGGACCTTTTTTCGGCCAGTGGGCGTCTCCCTAGTTAACAAAGCCAAATGAGATCGCATTACTAATGCCTTTCATTTCAAATGAATGTCCAATCAACGGAGGCATACAATTGTCAACGGAGGCTTTTTGAGTTCATCTTACACAACCATTAGTTTAAAACTAACAAGTTTGGAAATTCATCTGCAGAAGAAATTCAACAACTTTAGCTTAAATAAATATCACACCGAAATTTAGCCTCAAGTCAGTTTCTCTGGATTTATATAAATATTTTATCATAAACTAATAGTTCTGAAAACCTAAAAGGATTTTATCAACTAAATACAAATTTTTTAATTTCTTATTTTGCCTGCAGAAAAACAAACAATATCTAAAAGAAATTTTATTCAAATAGCCAAAAACTTTAAAAATGCAACACACTATTAAGTTGGATAAGAAAATTTTACCTCGATATTGGTTTAAAAGATGCCTAAGAGTTTGAAGAATAAATTTGGCTTGTAGTAAAAACCAATTTCATTCCTAAAATATTTATTTTGAAGCTTCCTTTTTACGCAAATAATTTGCCTTTTGTTGATCGCACTGTGTCCTTCTTCAATTTCCGAAAAATAACAAGAAATAAAATTTGAAGGCAATAAAGTTGTGGCTAAACATTTTGTTTTGGTGCCACAAAAGTGTAGATTTGTTTTTGCTGTGGCCCTAACAGATTTCCTAACCTACTGACCGCAGAAACCACAACAATTGCAGCTGGCCAACAAACAGGAGATGTCAAAAACAATTGAAACAGCACGAAAAAAAAAATAATTGCCCAACTGAAAAATAATTACGAGTGGTAAAAGTTGTGCTGTCAACAGAAATAAACATCATTCTTGCAATTATTGCCGTGGAATGAAATTGAAGGACAACTTGTTTGTAACCTTTATGCAAAATAGCAGCCAAAAAAGGCAAAAGTCGCAGCACCCAAAAGTGTTTTTAATGAAACGCCCACGAAATTCTTTGAAGTTGTCCACATTCAATTGAAGAGTCTAAGGACACTGGTTGGGAATATATTTAATGAGGGGTGGGGTTTATAGGGGGAGGGGTTTCTAAGGGGTAGGGAAAAGGGGGAGTGGCAAAGGGGCGTTGCCAAGACGCAAGCAATAAAGCACACAAGTGCCGCTCGGCAAACGGAAGTAAAATGGAAATTATGATAAGAAGTTCGCTGGCATTTCGGAACTGGACAGTCATTAAAGCCAAACTGGCACACCGAATTATGTACTCAGCAGACAAATAACAAATAAAAAATATAAAAAATAAACAATTAACAGTGTACAGTGAAAACAAAACGCAGTCCAGCGAGAAAGGGTGAAATACGTTTCGATGTTAAGTGCTTCATTTAATTAACAAAGTTGACATGAAAGCCTGTGTTTCCCCAAACCTTTGTCATCCCGCACTTTACGGTTCCGCTTTTTAGTTATACTCTAACTGGAGGATTGGGTTATATCCCTTGATTGAATGTTTACCAAACTTTGCGGATATTATTACGGATTGTTTGTTGTTGCCTAAAATGGAAAGTTTGCTCGCAGGGTAACTTTATTTTTAGAACTGATTGCTTGGATGGAATATATTTTTAGCTGCTAAGGGTATCCAGTATAAGCCTTCTTGATTAAGGTTGCTCTTCCCCACTTCCTTTCCTTTATCTTTCCTCTTAATTGTTTGCCTTTGTAATGGAGCAGGCGAAGCAGATGGCTCCACTCGCAGCGCATTGCTCATACGCCAGGTGGGCCGCAGCGAAATAACTTTGGTTAATTTGATTTGAAATTTGCATTTCGATAGGAATGTGTACTGTGTGTGCTTTGTTGACATGGATTTTGCATAAATTTAATTAGGCATCGCACGCCTGAACAGTTGCCGAATTGGAGTTGAGTTTTAATTAACTGCGGATATAAAACACTCAACCAACCATCCATCGCCTGTTGCTGTTTTTGTTTACGTTTATGTGAGCATATGTGTGATGGTATATATATTTTCCTATACCCCAAACCATCCGAACCATCCAGAGGCCATAAAAACAACAGCTGCACATTTCGCAGAGGCCAGGGCAAATGATATAAGGCAGCGGCAAATTGCACGACATATCCCATATAATGCGCGTAATGCTCGTGTACGTGGGCATAATAGTTTGCCGCGATAAGAAAAACGACCATTAAACTTGCCCAAGGCAACATCATCAAAACATTACGGCCCGACTCCCGGTTTTTGCGTCAATATTTGTCTGCCATGATTAAAGAAAATACGCATTACACATCGAGTGTAGTCCGGGTGATTTTGACTTTCCGGGGTTTTATCATAACAAATGCATCGGTGACTGGTGGCGAGAATAAATATTGATTTGCAAAAATTGCATGAATACTTTATGGCTAACAATAAAACAGATTTTATTTGCCAGAATTGCAATATCTGATTATATTTAGCTGTGAATCAACTCTCAGCTGGACATTCCCAACTCCCAGTGGCTCTCAGGTGTTAATAATATATCGCATCACATGCACTTGTTAGCCGTTTATAAATCGTTGGAGTGTGTGTGGGGAATTTACAAGGGTTTAAATTAATAATGAAGACTGGCGCTCAATAATTAAAATCCAATGAATGCTTTGGTTATTGTCATTAATTGCACTGGCAGTGTCGCTGGCAGAATGTCGATTTATTAACCCTTTCCCAAGGATAGTGGCTCAAGTGACTCAAGGACTCACCTGGTGAATGGGAATCCTTTTTCCTTGCTGCGGCTCTCGAGTTTCCCCTTAACTTTTATGGCTGCATAAATTGACACGCGACTCGCTCTTGACCGGAATTCAGAAATTCTAATGCAAATTTCAACTAGAACTTGCTCCTCTTTTAGGGTTTTTTTTTTTTTAGTCTCCTTCGTTTTACTATTTTTATTTTTCGTTTGTAAAATTTATTTTAGCATAATTTTCGGTTGTGCACTTTTCGTATCTCGTTTTTCGTTTCTCGTTTTTCGCTTTTCCGTTTTCAACTTGAACAAAACATTCAGAAGCATATTTAATGGGGCATGACCAAGGCTCTGGGATCGTAAAACAAATGGTTATGTTCTGTGGTGCAGTGTGGTGTAGTCCTTCGAGTTTTAAGCTCTGAGTCCTGTGGTCCGTGTCCCCTCTGCTAACGAAACTAAGTCCTGTTCGGTATGTCCTGTGTGTGTCCTGTATCGTATGTGCAACAGTTGTCGGGGGTTTTTATGGAGGAGGAAACGGTTTCGGGGCAAATGGATTTTTATTTTATCGCCTGGCAATAAAAAGCGAAACTGCAGGCCGCGCAACAGTTTGCAATTATGTGCAAATGCAGCGTGACATAAACGGGCGGATCCCCTTTTATCCTTCGTCCTGGTGGCAGCGAGCAATTCGCTTTTAATTGCCGCTCCTCCACCTCTGTTTTAATTTAATTCAATTCAATTTGCTTTAGTTGAAACGAGGAGTTCACTTTACTTCGCTTCGTTTCGATTCATTTGGCACTCGCGCACTCACTTTAACACTGCCGTTGTTGGTTTGCTTGCAGGAGGATTCGATTGAGTCGATTGTGAGTCCTGTTTTGGGGGACTGGCTCCTCGGCTTCCGACTGGACCTGCTCCTCTGGCTCCGCTGGTTGAATTGAGCTACTACCTTCGGCGACGCCTGCCAACAGCGAACTGAGCTGCTCCAGTTTCGTGCTTCACCTTATAAGCCGTGCATCCAGTTGTTGCTCCTGTGGCCGTGCCCGTGCTATCCTTAATGCGAGTCCTGCTTGCCTTCCAGCCAGCCGTTGTCCTCTGATAAGAGCAGGCGTTGGTGTGCGTGAGAGAGCGGACGGAGAGAGAGCGTGTGTGAAAAGCTCGGAGAGGGGTCAGTGCGATGTTTTCGCAACTCTCTTTTGAACAAAGCTCGAAGGGGAGTCGAACCGTTAGGGCATTTGAATTTCAAATTTAATCTATTCTTCTGGACGAAAATCGGAAAAATTGCTACATTATAAATGCAGACGAAATAGCCAAGCGAATAAAATATACCAAGCAATAAACATGGCATTTTCAATAAGGCCAAGGTCCAAAAAGTCGCAAAAGTGGAATGCATATAAAACCTATAAGAACATAAATCAAAACTTTTACAAAAAAATTTTGGACTTTAAAATTTGTTTATAAAAAATTTCATAAGTTGCATTATAATTTTTATCGCAAATTTGTTTGTAAAAAAAAAGGACCAAAATTTATGTAAAACTATATGTACATTCAATATTTCAATTATTTCTAAAAATTAGAATTCAGACTTAAAAAACCCAAATCGAAATTACTAGTTGAAATAACATTTACCCGCGGAAATGATCCGAAAGGATTCAAAGAGTAACATATTTGGGCACTGCCCTGGTAAAACCCTTTCAAGCATCCCCTCATTTTACTACGTTTTTCCGCTGCTCGATGGTTTGGGTTGGTCATGAATGAACTCCCTCCTGTTGCATATGTTTTTATGGCCAAGGATGGAAGAGGGGGAGGCTCTTGGCCTAGAAATAAAACATAGAATACACAGCCACCAACCCACTCGCACACACACACACACACAAAGGCAGACGTAGTGGACTCCTCTCTCCGTGAAGTTCAAGATGAAGGTTAGCGCCGAAAACTCGAAAAGCTGCAAAGAAGCTTTCGCTCTCTCCAAATCACTTCCGCTCTCTTTGTCTCTCGCGACCTCTCGATTTGCTAACATGTTGCTCTTGCTCGCTCCTTTTCGTTTGGCTTCGTTTCGATTTGTTTTGTTTCCTTTTTGTTTTCCACCATGGCGCCCCAAAAATTATGATGAGCTCCATCAAGCGACGGCGCTTAGCGCGCGTTGGCTTCCTTCCTGCGCTTTGGCCGCCACCCACCGCCCCCCTGAGCACCACCACCCACCAAACACCACCTAACACCCACACCTGTTCGCCACAATCCGCTCCACTCACATCAAAGATTACACAAAGAGAAAATGTTCAAGTATTTAAATTATGGTAACATCTTGTTAAAAACAAAATAGAAACGTAAAGGTCGAACAAGTTCAGGTAGTAAATGATAAAATAAAATTTAAAATCTTTTGTATTGTATATAATCTTGATAATAACTTACGAAATATTTTTTTAGAATATTAAATAAAGTTGTAATAAATCAAGTAATATTCAGAAAAGCGTAAATATACTTTTTAATTATTTTGGAAAATATCTAATGATCACACATTCATATAAAATAAGATTTCTTGTTTTTTAAGTTGCAACTGTTTTCTTATATTAAAGATTTTTTAATATGATAGATGATTTAAAATGTAGATTGCTAATATTTTAAACAAGCTCAATCAAGGATTAAAATAGGTATATATAAATTCTTTCTGCCTTGCGTGGAAACGAATAAGTTTTTTCCACTAATAAAAAAAATAAAAGAAAATCCTTTCCATTTTCAGCTTACTGTTTTCGTGCGAAGCTAAGCTACTTTTCCTCTCAGTACTTTAGCTTTTGTGCGTCTTGGCCGAGGCAGAGATTTTTTTCCTTCGATGCCTCAGCTTTTGTGCGTCTTCTGCGGCGAATGCCCGAATCTGAATCCATGCGAAACGGAACGCCAGGACCCTGGACCCCGCCTCTCGGCTGGTGACCCAATTTCATGCCTCCACGTACACGGCGCTCAGCAACGGCGGCAGCTGCCTCGATGTGGCAGTGGAAGGGGGGAGAAGGGAGGAGGGGGTGGCTACCAGTAGCATCCACATCGGTGGCAGTGTGTCCGGGGATTGAAGGCATTTTCCGAGCCCACAGATTTGCAGTCACATCTCGCGCTTGATTGGCTGGGGACTTTGGCATTTGTGGGCCTCTGAAGGTGCGAATGCGACACATTTTTGCATCATGCATTGTTGACAGCAGAAGAGGAAGTGATTGATTGTCGGTTCTAGGTTGTTGGTTGTTTGGTTGTTTGGTTGTTTGGTTGTTTGGTTGTTTGGTTGTTTGGTTGTCTGGTTGTTGGTTGCACTGGGTTTTCCCTCCTTGGCCTTGCGAAGGCCAAACTGCTGCCATTGGCAACGGTGGCATCGAAATTAAGCTGCTTAAACTAGCGACAATATCAAGGAGGTGAATGAGGGTCCTTGCCGAAAGGACTTTCGGTGGAGCGGAGGGGGGCAAGTGGTGGCACGTAACTAACTATTCTCGTTGCTCTCTTGGACTGTGAAAATGATAAAAGTTTTGTGCGTCGACTCTCCTGCTTGCCAGCCAGCTATCTTTTCTTAATTTGAGTTGGGCCAAAGCAGCCAAAGTTGTTCGCTGTCAATGATGTGAACTTTTGAACTTTGATTGGTTGCCCTACACACACACACACACATACGCAGGCATACTGAAATCCATAAGTCGGGAGTGTGCACCTTCAAGCGCTTTAATTTCAGGCTTAACCAGATTTTGTTTCACTTCCCTGCAGTTCCAAAATTGCTTTGTCGTCGAAGAAGTGTGCGAAGCCGCACCGACGACAGCGGGGGTAGCAGCCTTAGCCGCAGCGGCGCGAGTTTATAGAGACATTTTATATGGCACAGCCGTCTTCGGGATACATGTCGCTCTCGATGACTTTTTTGTCCGTTTCATCGAACAAGTCGTCGGTGGCTTATACGAATTTTGTATGGAGAAAATTCGTATAAGCCATTGTTGCTTTCGTAGCTGACGTGGAGGCGAAGTTTTCAACGATGGCTTTTGCGAGGATGTCCTTAGCGAAATCATCTATGTCAAGCCTAAAAATGTCATCCCCAAATTCATATGAAAAACAATATATATATATTTAATTCTTTTTTATTTTATTAATTTATCTTATTTTGTAATATAAGAAATAAGTACATAAATAATATGAAATTCGAAAGTTTTTGTTTACCACTTCTGTGGAGTACTTGCAGGCCATCGGCTGTTTTGCGTCCATCTATGGTACAAATATTTTTATTATTACATGTTATATATTACTTTTTTTAATCTAAAGCAAACTTACCTTTCAAACGAATTTATGGGACATATGTATGGCTGAATCCTAAAAAGATTTAAATAAGTTTGTAGTAAAAAACATAATGTTTTTGTAATATTAACGACACTTACATGATTTTTAAACATGTCAGCTGCCACATGCACAAGAGAAGTAACTTCACAACCAATAGTCGACGCACTACTTAAAAGAATGACGCAGTTTCCTTGTTCTCCGATCGAAGGAATACAAGACCAATCTGGAGTCTGGCCGCCGTCGGGTGCAAGCAACGATTCGTGTTATAAGAGTGAGAAAGAGAGGAACACTTAGGAATATCCCTTTTCCTTTCCTACACACTGATTGCCTAATTGCAAAAAGTCCACAGTGGACATCCAGAACTGCAGGGTTTTCAAAGCCACTTTGGAGAATAGTTTAATTAGTGTAAGTTTACATAATTGTGAGTATTTACTTAAGTCCCTACAAATCCAAAGATTAAATTGGTTAATTAGATGTGGCACTTTATAATTAAACAATTATTGGGTTAGAAATATTCTCAATGTTATAAAGTTGCTAATAAGAAAAGTATGTTTATTTCATTAATAAGCAGAAATTCAATAAATTAAAACTAATAACAATGGAAACAGCAAATAAAATTTATGAAATAATTGAACTACTATTCAGAAAATATTTTAATTAAACAAATCAGCAGGAATTAAATAAATTACACATAATAGGTACATTCTCTGTAATTCCATCTTCCCATAGAATTTTTTATTTTTATTTCATACTAGAGGTCCTGTGTCCGCTTCGCTGGTCAACACAATTTAACAACATAAAAGTCAATATTGCAACATTTTTCAAATATATGGAAGTATAGAAAGATGGTGATTTAACACTTCCAGTTTGACTTTTCCACTTGCGCAGCACAATCCAGCCGTTTCTCTTTTAAACTTTAACGCACTGCAATCTAAATTTTCATTATCACTGTAGTTCGCAGTGGGGTCATATTGGAATGCCATGCGATTGAATGATGCCAATGATCTCCATGTGCTCATTTGTCTCTCTTTGCTTAAGTTTTGTGAATATACTTGTTGCTGGCTTGGATGTCTGCGGCCAATGTTTGCACGTCGTCCTCTAAGCATTTTGGACTATGGACAGAGTGGTGAATTTATCCTCAAATGCACGATCCACATAATTTTCACAGTTCAACTTAAATTGAATAAAAATTCTTTTTTTTCACAATTTCACAGTGAACACAAAAATTGAGTTAAAATGCTATGGGAGCGTGTTTGTCGGTGTGATGAGGTAGCAACTCACTTTATATGCGACAATATTGCAATTTTCTTACGGATCCCTAATTTTTTTCAAAATAAATTATAGCCTATTTAACTCCACGATAATATAGCTTTCTATCGGCGAAAGAATTTTTTAAATCGGACCAGTAGTTCCGGAGCCTATTCCCTGCAAACAAACAAACAAACAAACAAACAAATTTTACCTCTTTATAATATTAGTATAGATAAATTGCATTTTATCAAAATACCAATCTACATTGCTTAGATGTTTAAGCTTTAAAGAATGCAAAACCGGGAAAGGCAACGTTTCTTAATTAAAAACCTAAATAAGCAAGCAAATGCCTTAAATACTCGAGCCAAGTAGAAAGGAATGCCGATGAAATCCGGGGGATAATTCTGCAGAATGCATTCGCCCAGTTTCATTAGGCTGCCTGTAAGGACAAAGGAGCCAGGTGCACTGCAACTCCTTCCTTGGCTGCATTTA